AATGTGTTTTTTTTTCCCATCAAAATGGGGTGTGGGGTGAAAGAAGAAAATCCGATGTTTTTAACCGTAATCGCTACGTAGACCCAATTTCCACAAGCCTGAGTAGCCCAACCTAAGGTAACTTACCTGACGTAACGTAACGTAACCTAACCTACAGGACTACAAGTTAGGTCACTAGTGACCTAACTTGTAGTCCTGTAGGTTAGGTTACGTTACGTTACGTCAGGTAAGTTACCTTAGGTTGGGTTACGTAAGGCAATACTCGGGTGAGTTAGGTTAGGTTAGGTTAGGTTAGGTTAGGTTAGGTTAGGTTAGGTTAGATTAGATTAAATTAATTTATATCTCATTTTTTCCCTCTAAAAAACCAATTCTCTCGTTTTCAGTTTCCGTAAAATCGCCATTTTACCGATTATTTGCGATTAATGCAATTCTAGTGTCATTTCTTCCGTTTTCCGTTTCCGTAAAATCGCCATTTTACCGGTTATTTGCGATTAATGCAATTCTAGTGTCATTCACGTTTCATGGGTTGGTATCACTGCACTTTTTCCGTTCAAAATGGCGGAGGAGTCGGATACCGAAATTTCGCCCGATAAGACATAGCCGACTAATCTCGCTCCGCCTTTTAACCTATGTCATCTATCTCGTCCTGACAAACAAAAAAATTCAACATTCAGGCTGCTGATAGATTTTGCATGGTCACTGTGGTTTGGCATGGTTCAGCAAATATTGCTTCTGATATTAGGTAACACACATTGAAATAGTTCAGCACATACCTTAAGTAGAATTGTGGCATACGACTGGGCATAGATTTGTTGCTAAAACTACTGACGCTGCCTTTAAATCCTTGATATGGGTCTCGCTCAAAACCAGATTACTAGGATTTTTTGACATCGAACAGATTTCCGCAGGGATAAGGGTACTAAAATTCACTTGTCATAGGTACTTACAGTTTTGCTTGCGAACAAATGAACCACAGATGGAGGAAGGTACACAGAACTTGTAGCACGGTAATAAAGGTAGAGACAAAGTTTAGAGATAGCAGGGAACAATAAAGGGAAATTTCATTCGTATGATTTAGTTTGCATTTCGAAATAACAACATTAAATTATTTATTAGTTTAGTTTGTGTACGTATGTTTACATCTCGCGATAACCTAAAAGCGAAAAGACAAACATTGATTGAATTGACTTGACTGTGACTAGAGTCCCTTTATACTGAGAGTCAAGACAATTCGGCTCATGGATGTCACAAACGGGAATAAAGATTACAGAAATTGAACGTTTTTCGTAATCTTTGATCGGCCCATTCTCAAATGCCTTTCTCCGTTCCTCCTCTCATTCCGTTTGTTCCTTGCCGAACCCGTAATTCCCTAGTCCATTCCAGATTATAATCTTTGCAATTGGTGAAAATGTAATATTTATTCCCGTTTGTGACACTGTGGAGGCCTAAAATACGGGAACCAATCAGAAATGGATTCAAATTGTCTTGACTCTCAGTATAAAGGGACTCTAGATTTATTATGTTCGGTTTATCGTTTGTCAAAATTTTGTGGGATTTTTTGCACAATTTTGATAATGCGATATGAATTTTAACGTTTAAACGCACAAACGTTTGAATGTTAATTTGATTGTAATTTAAGTAAAAAACGGGCCCCTTAACCTACGTCACGTAGTCATGTGACACGTACTGAGGCTCATGGGAAATTTTCAACTTTTCCATACCTGTGTAAATCTACCTTGAGGCGGTGCCATGGACCAAGAGAATGAATAAGGACCCCCAACTCCGGTTACCGCTGACATTAGCGCTCCCTGGCAGAGGGTGTAGTGAACTAAACCGACGATTGGGTCCTCCTGTTTATATTTCCATGCACCACCTATTTAGGCTTATCACTCAGTAGTGCTCATAGAAGTTTCTAGATCCTCGTATCCTCGTGGTCGCCCTGCAGTTTTGAAGAGTTTAGTGTGAAAAGTTTCCCATTTTCATTTCAATCTTCGTCAGTCTTCGGGTACATGAACTGGTAATAATGTGAAGTGTTTTTTCTAACCATTTTACTCAGCAGCAACTGCTGTTGAGAAAGCCAAAGGAAGTGTGTGTGTGTGTGTGTGTGTGTGTGTGTGTGTGTGTGTGTGAGGGTGTGAGGGTGTGCGTGTGTGTGTGTGTGAGGGTGAGGGTGTGTGTGTGAGGGTGTGTGTGTGTGTGTGTGCAGTGTGCAGCAGGAATTAGAGTACCTATATTAAGAGAGTATGGCCACTGGGTCCCATGGAGAGGCTTAGGACCCAAAAATGGCGGTGCTTTGTTTTGGTTTTTGTGGATGGGAGGGGGGTCATTGCCAACTTTTGACGGATATCACCAACCGCGCTCGCTGCCAACCTTACTACATCCAAGATAATTTTTCTCGAAAATTGCACACGATTAGCCTTAAAAATATGTAACGAGGTCGCAATAGTGCATTTTGGTAAATTTCTCGTTACGATAAGCAAAGACAACTACATTTTGAGTCATTTTGCATTACATTAACCTATGGCGTCCGCCATTTTTGGGTCCTAAGGGCTCCATTCAGCCTAAGATGGCTGAGCCAATCAGAGGTGGTAACTCAAGTGGCCATACTCTCTTAATATAGGTACTCTAGCAGGAATCAGGATTGTACTTTTAGCCGAAGGCGCAAGTGAAATCTTTTGATTGAGAAATAGTGTTGTACTGATAAAAATCAACTGAGTGTCACAAAATCAAAGATACTTGACTTCAAGCATTACCTTTAATTTGATTATTAGCAAGTCTCTTTGATTCTGCGTCAGAAGTTGACTGAATCATCTTTGCTCGTGTTTTGATAAGATACTTCAAATCAAAGTCTTTCGCATTGACCTCTGCAGAAGGTATGTATCTATACTATTTCATTAGTTTGCGAAAGTAAAATGTATTAAAGTATCTAAACGTATAAATAAATCATAGATAAACAAAGAACATTGCATGGAATAACATACTATAGAGGTACGATCGTGGACCATTGTGGTGTTAGTTCACCGCACCCTCTGCCAGGTTCGCTGCAAGCGCGCGGTAACGGTTTTTAACACAGGTTTCAATGGGGAGTTGGGAGTCCTTATTTATTCTCTTGGTCCATGGCGGTGCGTCGTGAATGGTCGTGAATTGAATGAAACAACGACTTTGATCAGTTCAACTTTCTTAAAAATTAATAATGCAAAAACACGTTCTAAATTCAAGGAATGATGCCTATGCGTTGGTTTAAACTTTTTGAAATGATTTGCAATGATTTTTATAACTGTTAAGTGCACATTTATATTTAATGCGGATGGCCGATGAAGTCAAAATTTCGAGGCACGAATGTGATACGGCGCGGGTGATTTGAAAGAGTGGCCAAAAAACGGCAGAAAATTAGGGATTATTAATTAACTGCGTAATGAATCAGCTCCAAATTTCGCCTGTAGGCGAGGAATAAAATATGCTTGCCAGAGTGCAAAGGGTTTTGAGTTTCATTAAGTTTTTGCGGAGATATCTCAAAATAACGCAAAAGTTGAATGGGTTCGTGTAAGATACAGTAGCGGCTCAAATTCTCGTTGTTGGAGATCTCTATAGGCTTGACTGGGTCGCTACCGCTCCTAGTAATAGGCACTATTTGTCTATTTCCCATGTAGTGGTTTGAATTTCCTCATAATGTCTCTTCCATGTAGTTCGAAAATGAGGTTTCATGCGCAGATATTGTACCAAACTGTGCAATAAAATATTACTTTAAATTGGGGTTGGCAAAGTGGGCACTGGGCAGTGTTGTAAAATTTTGCATTTTTTGGATTGTACCTAAAGAAAAAGGGTCGGCAATGTTGTAACACTGAGAACAGCAAATTTGATTTTTGCATGGTTTTCCTTCAATTTGTAGGTTATGCAGCAGAAATGTGTTCGATACCCCTTCAATTTGCGGGTTATGCAACTCTTTCATAGTATATCGCCCCTTCAATTTGTGGTGATACACCGGTGTTTCAGGAAGTAGCCCCTTCAAAATGGAATAATACCTCATTACAGTGCTGATGTGAGGTTGCCAAATTGTGCATGGATGTTTAAGGTAAAGTAAGAAGCCCCTTCAAATTGAGGTGATACCAGGGTCTGTTTTGTTATGGGGTTGCACAACTGTGCACGAAAAATTCATGATTTTACCCCCCCCCCCCCGGGGGGGGGGGGGAGGCTGACTGTAGTCCTACGAAACGGCGAGTAAGCGTGTGCGATTTATTCATCGATCCTGTGTACACCATACTCGAGACAACCTCTGGGATCTTAGTTTTTCAAGTCGATATTTCCGGTCTGGCTGAATTTTGCAACAGACTCCGTTACCTACATGAATTGTTTTGACGTTAATTTACTTTAAACGTTAATCGGAAAAGTTCGTAATGGAGGTTATATACGATACCTATACAATTGCTGCAACAAAATCCCATCCCACCCCACCTATAATAGTTACCCGATCTATGTCGTCGATTTTTTCGTTCACGATAACTACCGTTAGATTTACGTTATCTGATTCAAATTTTGTAACTTTGTCCATTTTGGTCTGATAAAGAACTGTATAAATTTTTGGTGAAATCGCACTTACCGTTTACTCATAAACGATAATTAACGCAAGTGCCTTACATACGCTGTTTTCCACTAATATGTTTCTATGAAAGTTCCGTTCCTTGGCTTCCTTGGTAACCTTTGTTTGCTATCAGCTGATGTTTTATTTCAATTTCTTTTTTTCATTTTTCATTTTTTTTTTTTTTTTTTTTTTANAATTTTTTGCCAGCATTTATTCTACCTCCCCCCCCCAGCTCATTTTTCTAGCTCCATCACCCTCTCCCCTCAACTCATTTTTCTATCGATTTTATCATCTTTTTTTATGGCATGTCTTCCTCCCCCACCACCATTTTTTCGGGGTTATAGATATTTTAGCGGCCTCTAGACCCGTTACTCCAGTCACGGGCATTTCGCTAGTTAAAATATATTTGATAGGTACTTACTAATGAGAGGCGTCTTTTCTGTTGGAGGTAGGGTCTCTCTTATTGTCATGAGGAAGACGATCATTGATAGAAGCGCACCAATACCGAGGGTGACTTTTTCACCAGATTCTGAAGGCACGTAGAATACGAGCAGTACGTAGAATACAGCTACAAGCAAAATCTTGAAAGCACTATTTCTGACGAGCTACCGGACCAATAAGGATTCTAGGTGGCAGTAGCCATCCCGGCCCAATCCTAAAAAACGCCCCCTAAAAAATGACGACAAAAAAAAAAAAAAAAAAAAAAAGGG